CAAATCTCTCTAAAAGATATTTTCAATGTTTAAATATTTTTCCCTAAAATCTAGAACATTTAACACCAAAAAAATCATAAAAATTCATGGGAAAATGAAAAGTATCAAAAAGATTTCTGATGTTTAATGCCTCCTATCAGCAAATACACCATCTGGTATATTCAAGCGCTGTTCATTCAGTTTAAATAAAGCTGTCTGAAAGTTCTTCTTTAAGCCAAACATTAAAAAACGAAAATGCTTGTGTTAACAATGAATGAAACACAACAATTTATTGCTATTAAAGCACAACTGGCCAGCACCTTTCAGCAGTCCAGGAGAAAAGCAGAATGCCTTGCTTCCTCTGGAAACTTGATTGGCATCACTTTCATTTTATGCTGTAAGTTGCATGGCTGAAGCAAGCATTCCATATAACAGAACATTTTAGGTACTTATGCTAATAGTGGTAAAAAGGATCATCTGATTCTTATTTTCATCATCCTTAATAATATCTTCTTTTCCTAATCTTCAAATAGATCTGTAAGTTTTAATCAACAATTTCACAAATATAAATTTCCTCACCATTAATCATCCTTTTTCAAAATCCTTATGGAGTGAATTACTAGCTGAGAGGGGACGCCAATTCTAGTAAGTGAATGTTACCCAGCAGGGATATAAAGCTGTCAACACCATCGTGCTCTTGCTAGCTCTAAACTCTCTCCTAGCCTTCATATGTTTTTTAAAGAGATATTAGCCTTTTTTTTTTTCCTAAGGACCTTCTATAAAAGCTGACTGACATACACATCTGAGCACTTACATTTTATTACATACATGCTTTAAAACACACTGCTCAGATAAGAGCAAAAACATCCTAGAAAGTGTTGGAAAGACAAAGCAAAACTGATCTAGTTTTTAATAGAGTCTTCTAAAGTTAACCACATAGTAAACAACACACTTTTAAGTCCCCTGTTAAAACACAACCTTAAAGACTGGTGACAGTGTATCTACCCTCTCTACTATTTAAATTCAGACACTAAAATAATGCCCCCTTTTTTATGAATACTTAGTTCTCATCGAAAAACACAGTAAATTCCCTCTACCTAAATAAGTGCAGTAATAGCAGAATTTACTACTGCAATCAATGCATTCAGAAATATATTTAAAATATATTTACCTCACTGCTTATCAAAAACAGTAAGATAAATTGCTATTTGATTAGACAACCAATTAACTTGATCTCCCTTATTTTTAAAAGAACAGCTTTTAAGAAAGAGGAACACTAAAGATTAACAAATATGTACTCCCAAATTTTTGGCTCCACTTTTAAGGCAAATTTTATTGTATCCATCTTTACACCATTGACAAGACTGCAATATATCTGAAAATGCTAATAAATGATAAAGAGCTATAAATACTTGCATAGTTACCTATGCTTATTATATTGCTTTATAAAGAAAATTTAAACAAAAGAACATAGAATGGTAGAAATATAATCTATATTTACTCTATGTTCAAAAAATCCTTTAATTATAAAAAAACTAACTAAAAATTTATTTTAAACATTTTTTAAAATTTAGAATGTGCATTTTTCAAAAGGCTTGGCTTTGCTCCAAACTATATATATACATGGTTAAAAGCTGCAAATAAATTATTAACATCTTTAACATACATTTGGGAATTATATAAACTTAAACTCATAAAATAATTTTGTTAACATTCAATTAGAAACCTTTGTACTATGAAAATCTTATCTTCTAAGTTGTTATATTCTAAAGTTGTCTAAATTAATCTCTTTATAATTATGCTATATAGAGTAAAATCTTTCTTTTTTAAAAAATTTAAATTCCACTAAACAACTTTAACCACTTTACTATCAGGTATTATAAACGATATGTATTGAGACAAAATAATGTCATCTTTATTTTCAACTTGGGAAGCAGCTAATAAGACCTCTGCTATTACTAAATTAAGTTAATTAAGAGAAAGTGTCTAAGGCAGCTGGTTGAAACAAATCTATTATTCTTCACCAAGATAATAATTTTAGTTTATATTAAACATGTAAGGGCTCAAATGTGAACTATATTCTCAACAAATTTGAAAAGCAATCACTATTTAACACTAAACATATCCCTGGTCAACAGAGCAAGGCACTTTCTTTCATAGTTCAACATGATACAGAAGGAGGGGGAAAAAAAACTTGTTTTAGGGAAGCACAATTATTAACAATTACATTCTAAAATGTTTACAGATTCCTTTCAATTTAGTGAATTGTATTAGATCTTCAGAAAGATACCAAAATTTTAAGTCCAAGCCTTTTCTGTCCACAAAGGCCACTTTGGAACACACTGTCTCCAAGGATTTCCAGAACTTTTTCAAATATTTTGAGCACTTAGCATACCTCATAATTGGTACCATCATACTCTCCATGAATTTTTATTTCTTATATGCATATACTAAATGATTATGCCAAAAGCCTGACATTATTTGCTCCAGTATCAGGACAAATTAATAAACCTCTCTTTTTAAAAGTGGGTCACAGAACTGTTAAGTTTTCTTTTGCCTCAATAAAGTATATTTTCAAGTCCCAAAAAGGGGAGATAAGGCAGAATCCATCACCAAATTTTTTAACTTACAACATTGAAAGGATGAATGCATCTCAAGTGAGATGATTAATATGAAAAACTGAGACAAACCATCCTGAGTATTTACCATGAAGAAACAGAAATAGCAAATAAGTAAAAGAAAAAACTATGATTTTATAAAACATATGTGTTTAACTCTTTAAAGGGAAATGAACATTTTTAGAGGTAAGTAACTATTTTGAAATACATACAAAACAGACTTATAACAAGGGGGTGGTAGCTTATCATTAAGGTTTGCCAAGGTTTTATATCATTTAAGGCAAGTTAATGTAATTATATTAAATGGGCTATTGTTGAAATTATTAGAGAAAAAACGTTAGAAGCAAAAAAAAAAAAAAAAAAATTAAACTAGTGATTGATCCCAAACACATAGAAAACCTGCATGCCATGTAGAATTGTGGATTTTACATGTAAAAGACCACTAAGCAAATGGCATACAAACTCCAAAATATTTCAATGTTTAAATTTCTCCCATATCTTTATTTTGTATGATTGCTTTTCCTGACCACTTTAAAAGAAAGTAGTTGCTTAAGTAGTAAAAACTACAAAAGATTTTCTTTAAATAAAATTATTAATAAATTCTTGGGAGGGGAAACTGCATGTAGTTGATAAGACTACTTTCCTATTTTTATCTGTTGTCCTATAACAAAGTTACAAATGCATATGACTAAACTATAGACAACTGCAGCATTTAAGCTTCTAAGGGCCTGATGGATTCATGGTGATTCTTTATTTCCCACATTTCACGTGGCAGGAAATATTCCCAGTTGTTACTCATCTGTCTTGAAGCACTGTCCTCACTACAAAGTAACATCAACTCTCCTTGTCCCTGTACTCGCCTGAGCATTAACAACTATTTTATTCCCTAAAAGCGAACGCACGTGAACTTCATCCCTACAACAGACACTCTGAGGCAAGGCAAAAGAGTTAAATCACTAAAAAGCTCTCTAGGAAAATCTAGAAACAGTTAGCTGGCTGTGACATAAACCTGCCAACACCTCAGCACACAGTGGCAAAATGCCCAAAAAATGCCACCCTCTGGGTAAAAACCACTTTCTTGTTTTAACTCGAGATGAAGCTACCAGTTGCAGATGAGAGGCGACGGGGGCATTATTTGGCAACCTGGAATTCACTTCCTGTAATCCTACACCGCGACAGCGCCTAATCAACCTGAACCCTGACACCCAGGCCATTATCACCGGGCCGCGGGCTGCGCGCCTCCCTGCTTCGGGCTGTTACCTCCCACGGCCTTGGCCACGGCGCCGTTGGGCCTCCCGCGGGCTCCCATGGGGCTGCCGTTCTGCTCCAGCCGGGCCACCTTCACCGGGGGAGGCCCCTTGACGTCCGGGCTGCCGCTCCGCCGGTCGGGGCTGTCCCGCAGACACGGGCTCTCGCTCCGCCGCTCCATGCTGCTCCGACTCGGAGACAAAGTTCCCACCGGCAGGTCGCAATAAAACGCACAGGGACCTAGGGAGGGGGTGGGGGGAGGAAAGGGGGAGGGAGAAAAAAGAGGGAAAACCGCTCACACACGTGATAGACGTTCAGGCCAGTGGCAGAGCGCTGCACCACAGCCACACAAACTTCCTCCCACGCTGCCCGAGGGGCCCGAGCCGGGAAGCCGGTCCCAACCTCACACTGGGAGGCCCCCGGGAAGCCCAGCGCCTCGGTTCGGCGCCTCTGCCCAGTCGCAGCTCCCCAGAAGTCAGCCCTCGGGGTTGCGGCCGGGGTTGGCACCCAGGGGAGCCTACAAGTGGTCCATTCATTGGGACGGGGTTGGCATAAACCGTTCCTGGGTGCGACAGCCTAGCCCGTCCCGGGGTCAGGATTGTGGAATAAGTGAACTTCATAAAAAAGACGTTCCACCCACATGGGAAGGGAGTGGGGGCTGTGCGCAAGTCCGTAACCGAATTAACCACCCGGTAAATGCGCTGTGAATAGCCAGGCAGGAGCCAAAGGCCGGGCGAAAGAACCCCTTGAATACCCGCTTTTTACCTATACAGAGCAAGTCCTGAGGTAAGCACACACCTGCATAAAATCAACCCTAATTCCACATTAATAAGCATCCGAAAACACTTGGAGGTATTTATCAGAATAACCTCCATCACAAAGGCGGGCGCTACAATCGTTATTATTTTGGAGCGTTCTTATCTTCATCTGATCCCGAGTGCTTTTTTAAAGCTCTTCAGTATAAAACACAAAAGCAAAAAGCATTTGAATTCTTAGTGCAAGAGCAGCCTTCATCCGCCCCAATTTTAACATCGCTCCAGAAAGTTTTCCTCTGGGTCACTAGGTTGGCAGTGCGCTCCCCACGGAAGCCGCAGGTCTCGACACCCCTGGATTGGGGGTGGGGGGGCAGGGAAGGAGGGGAAACACCTGATGAAACGGCGCTCGCGTTGTCACTGACACCCGCAAGAAGCAGGACCCCGGCACCGTACTGCGTGCGCGCTGGGAATCCTGGTGGGCGCTCTCGCTGCGCGAGCAGCGTCGGCGCCACGGGTCAAGGAGACAAGGTGGAGGTGGCAGGGGGAGGTGAAAGGAAGGATGCGAGATGAAGACACAGAGCAGGAGGGCTGCGGACGAGGGTTCCGCCTGCATTCTCCGACTTCGCGGTCCGAGAGGCCGAGAGCGGCGGGGAGGGAACTTCGTTGGCCCTGGGCTTCCCCGAACTCCCGAGCGCAGCGCGGGAGCCCTCGCCCTGCGTACTTACTGCTCACGGTCTGTCTGAAACTTGGCTGGCTGGGGCTCTGTCCATGGAGCAAAAGTAGAGAATCCAGGGTGGAAAGTTTCTGGTGCTTGGCTTTGCGGTGTTCTCCTAGTCTTCTTCCTCTTTACTCCTTTCCCTTCCCTCTTCCCCAGGTCCTAACGTTTAAGGTCCTGGGTCAGGGTGTCTTCTTCTGGTGCGGAGATGGTTGTTATGATGATGATGGGGGGAGGGAGGAGGGGGAGGAGGAGGAGAGGGAAAGGACTCCTCCAAAGGGACACCCGAGCGAGCGGGGGAGGGGACGGCGGAGGAGGGGGGAAGAGAAGGAGGCTGAAAGAGCCTTTTCACACCTTCGGGAAGGAGACCGGTTCTGGAGAGAAAGGGCTGAGAACCCGGAGGCAGCGGCGCCGGGCCGCGGCTGCCCGTTCGCAGGGCAGCTAGCTCGCGAGGAGGCGCGGCCAGAGCGGTGGGACCGGTGACACCAAGAGCCTAGAAGACGCAGGGACCCGGGACCGCGCGCGGGAGGAAACGCGGCGGCCGCCCAAGCTGTCACCTCCAGCCTCTCCCCTCTCGGCCGCTTCTGCCAGCAGCCAGAGCCGGACTCACTGACAAGCCGCAGAGAGAGACACACTGAGAGGGAGATGATTATTAGTTGCGTTGAGTCATCAGGCAAAGTGAGTCCTTTTGGGTTGTCCTCGGTTTCCGATTTCTCCCCCTCCCCCTTTCGGTCCCCAGATCTAGCGCCTTCAAAATAATAATTTGGGGTGGGGGTAGGGGAAGTCTCTGGATTATTTCGGGATGGGGGTGGGGGGGATGAATCTAAACCCAAGCCAGACTGGTCCACCGCGAGAAAAGAGGGGAGTGGGGGGCGGGGAGGAGGGCTGGGGAGGTTGCGGGGGGAGGGGGGCCCCGCCTGGCAGGAAATTAAACATCAATCAATCAATCGCTGTGAGCACGGCGACCCAACGGCGGCGGGGCTGCGGAGGAGGCAGAGGGACAGGCGAGGGGCGGGTGGGAGGCAGGGAGGAGGGAGGAGGAGGAAGAGGAGAGTCGGCGGTCGGAGCGGGGTGACGAGGACCTCGTGCACGAGGCGGCGAAGGACCGATGGCAGAGGACCGAGTGCGGCGCGAGGTGGTGGCCGCGGCCAGCGGGTGGGTGCGTCTGGGCGCAGGCGGGCACCGGGGCCCAGGGTCTGGTCCTCCTCCTTGTGGCGGGTCCAGGGCGCGGTCGCCTCGCCCAGCCCCTAGGCGCACTCTTCCCGGCGCGGAGGCGGCGGCGACAAGGCAGTCGCTGGGTGCCGCGTCTGCCGGCGGAGACGCAGACCGACGCGCAAGAGGCGACCGCGGCTGCCTCGGCTCCCAGCTCTGTTAACTGCGCGGAGTACTTTCGACTTTGGAGATAGGAGGGCGATCGCCTCCCCCACCCACCGCCTCCGCCCACCACCCACCGCCTCCGCCCCTCCGAGCAACTTTTCTCGGTGCCTGCGAGCTCCCCCTCCGCGCCGAGCCGAACGTCCCGGCCCGCCGCGCTTCGTGCCGCCGCGCGCGCAGGGAAGGCCGCTTCTCCTTCAAAGCTGGCACGGCCGCGAGTCCGGAACAATAGCCCGGGTGTCCCGAATGGCAGGAGCACGGCCACTGCCCGCCGGGCTGTGGGTGGCACAGGAATGGGGGTTGCGTGGTGGGTGCAGAGCGGGGTGCATCCCTGGATGGCATCCCTGGAGCGCTCGCCGCTCCGGAGACATCGCGAGCGGCGCAAACCGGGCCGCCTGGAGCCCGTGACGCGGTGGCGGCGAGGGCGGTGGGGCTGCCTGTCCTCGGGCTACAGGACTGGGGCTCCTGGGGACCCCAAGCTGCTCGAGCCCAGGGCTGCTGGCGCCTGCAGAGCTGTGCCGTGAGGACCCGGCCTCCCCGCCCTGGGGGAGGCCGCACAGGAGCGTCCCCAGCAGGTCCCGCGAAGGCGTAACAGAGCCACAAACTTTTGCCGACTCCCGCGGCCGCGGAGCCCGACTCCGGCCGCGGTGCTCATTTAAGGTGGCGCGGGCACTAGCCGAGCAGGCTGGCCTCTGGCCGCGCTTTTGTCCCTGCGATTCTGCTTAGGCGCAGTGCCTCCTTAAGGAAAAGCACGTGGGCAAGGGCCGCTGCCCCCGCGAGATGCCAGGGGCGTCGGCGGACATTAGCCGCTAGGACCTTAGGCGAGAAAATGTGGACGCATCCCCGCCGGCCCTGAGGCCAGAGAATCCCCTCAACTGGTTGCGCCTCCTGTCCCTCCCGCACATGTTGACTCTCCCTCTTAATCCCCAAGACCCCGAGGGCTCTCCCACAGCTCCCGCAGCAAGAGCCACCGATCCCCCTTAAGAAGCGTTGACTGTACGGCGGCGCCAGAGGGCCAAACTAAGTTCGGTTTCGGGAAACGCTCTCGGGAGCAGTTCTGTAAATCCCGGCTGGGTGCACAGACTGCGGAAAGCTGAGTCCGCCGATTGTGCCCGGGACAAGACCGCCTTCCACTAGCCGCATCTCCCTGGTAGGCGGCATGCGCACGGGCTTAGAGGCTTGAGAGCCTCTGGAAGAGAAAGGGTCCCAGGAAGGAAACCTGCCCCCGGCCTAAGTGTCGGCGCCCAGATCACCACGAACCCGGCACCCAGACGCCGCCCACCAAGTTCCAAAGAAGTCCGAGGCGACCCGGGAGTCGGTCGGATCCCGGCCGAGAAAAGAAACAAGCAGGATAGCAAATCTTAGGGGAGCCACCCTGGGAGTTTTAGGCAGCGTTTGCCTTTCCCTGGTTTTCTTCACCAAGTCCCATCCTCCCCCTGCATCCCACCCCCAGTCAAACGGGTGGGAGAAAATGCACAGTTCGAAGTCGGTGAGAGCAAAGTGGGTCTAGTAAATCAACCCGTGGTGGTAGCTAAAAGGTTTGGGGCTGCAAAGAAACAAGCTGTAAGTTTGAGCAACAAACTTTTTCTTCAATCTGTTATATGTCGAAATGGGAAGGGGGTGTCGCAAAAGCCAACTACCACTGTCAAACTTAGCCCGTTTACAACATGGGGAAAGGCGTATTTCTTATTAATATCTCAACAACGGTAACAATGCTGTATCCTTCCTTACCTTGATGTTGAACTGCGAATCCTCCTCCGGATCAATGTCCAGGAACTTAGAAGAATTGGTGATATTAGGAGTTCAGTACTTCTGGAAAAAAATGCAAATGGTTTAGCCAGGATCTTTCCTGTCTGATTCGTCACTATTATTATATCTGATGATGCGAATGGTTGGAGCGATTCAATCCTAAGTCATTAATGAGCTATTTTATAAACACCACTGTCTGAAGATCTTCATTTACATTTTGCTAAGGATCACTTCGCTAACCTCACAGGCTTGTGTCAACAACATGATTTGCAGGACTTCAGTTACACTCTTATAAACAACACGGCTGTATTGTTAATCGGTTAATATTTTATAAAGTGTAAATATTTTATTATGTTTTGAAGGGAACTATTGATTCTAAATTATTAAACCCCTGAGAATGACTATTTAAATGAAATATACATTTAAGTACAATTAAATGTACATTGTGGCTAGTTTGTTTTCAGATTCTGCACCCTTTTAAATTCATTGCTTTTCTCATTATTGGAGTTTCCTCTTGTCCATTTCTGATACTGAAAAAAATCTATCATGTTAGGAAAAAAACCTAAATTATTTAAAGTTGCATTAAACTTAGAGGAAAATGTCAAATACGATTAATTATGACCAGAAATGTATTTTGAATGTTTGTAGAGTTGTATTTCATATCACATTTTACAAATTTCTTTCGATTTAAAGGAGAGTTCTAGGAAGTTTTGTGATGTATGTCCGGTGTGGGTTTTTTTCCTCTCGAGTTTTGTCTCTAATAAAGGCCTTTTCTGTTTCAAATTACATACGCTTTTTACTGCACAATTTTTGTATTGACTTTATTTCAACTGAAGCGATTATTTCCAGCAGATTTAATTTCGACAATAAGATATATTTTAAATAATATTTTTACCTTCGCTAGAATTTTCTACTGTTTAAAACAGTAAATAAATAAATTTGATGATGATTCAAGAATATTTGTTTGGTTTCGTTTTGTATCCCTCAAAAGATTTATTTCCAAACATTTTTAAAACAAAATAACAAGAAAAGAGTTATTTTATTTACGTTTGATTTTTTAAAATACTTTTATCTAAAACCGATATTGTGCATTAGGAGATAGTTTGCTTCCGTGCTCAAAACATGGAGTTCACATCTGGGGGACATTTTTATCCCTCAGTTTCCTTCTAACTGACTTTTTTGTGGGGAATCTGCTCGTACTTTTCACCTTTTCTTCACCCCCCCCCCCCAAGTTTTTCTTGTGTCATTTAGTAAAAGGCCGCCTGTCTTTCACAAACACGGATTTGTTATTTAAAAAATCAATAGATCTTTATATGCTGGTGTTAAAGGTGTATGGTTTTTCTTATTTCCAACTTCTCTCCTTTTCTCTCTGTCAGGCCTTCTTTTATGGCCTGCAGTCTAATGACGTTTCTTGATTTCTCTTTGTCGACACCAAGTTTTTGTTGTGCGTGCTTTCCACCCTGGTCAACCTTCCCTCCTAGAGGCCCGCTCCGGACAGCGTAGGCCTGGTCGCCCGGGTGGAGGGTGCAGGGTGCCAGGCGCGGGACTTCGGCTCTCGCCTGGGCCATCGCGAGCCCTGAGGGCCCGGCATCCATCCCCAAGCTCCAAGGCTTTCAAGTTCGGTCACCCAAGCAGAGAGATCCTGCCTCTTAAAGAACCCTGGAAAGTTGTGCCGCGTTTTCCCTCAACCCTGGAACACGCAGGGAAAATTACAGGAATCGCCCGCGTCAAAAGCTTTCGACGGCTTCTAGGAACCCAAGCGGGCCTGCCTCTTCCTCCGGAGCTTGCCCTGCTGGGGGCGGGAGGAGGGCGGGAGGGAATCATTTCTTTCAAATGAAGCCCACGCCAGCTTTGAAGCCAATTTCCGCCGCGGACTGTCCGTGGGGAGTTGGCGACCAACACTTTCTCGGACGGCATAACCGCGAGGGGCTTAGATTGGAAATCGGATGAGCCAAGAAGACAAGAGCCAGGGGCCAGAATACCCCAGTAGGGGATGCGCCTTTGGAGGACGGTTCGCCCAGGGTGGGCTTGAGCCCTTTCCCAGAGTGCTCCGGGTGTCTGGGGACTGACCCGAGCGCAGGGCGGGGGACACTTACTTCGTTATCCGCACGCCTTCCTCGCTGGCATCAGAGCCGGACAAATCCCAACCCGCGCCAGGCAAAGATAGATGACTCCTGGCTCCCCCGGCGGCTCAGGGGGCCTGGGCGGGGGAGGAGAGGGGAGGAAGCCGTCGACCGCCGGAGGTAGAGACGGTGGAGGTCCTCCTCCCGGCCCCAAACGAACGAGCCCCTGCGGCCCGAGCAGGGAGATACGCCTCACGGGGACGACTGATGGGGAAGGATGGTGGGCAACAAGTCCGCGCTGGGCGGTGAGCCTAGCACCCCAGAGGCCCGAGGGTCTGGGGCTAGTGGGGCCGACCGTGCAGGGGCTGGGTGGGCGGGAAGGGAGGTGCCAAGGTCGGCCCAGGAGCTGCCTCGGGCGAGGACGGGGAGCTTTCTGCACTGGGCTCCCCGGGGTAGGAGATGGGCCTCGGGTGTGGGCGCTGCCTGCCCTGGGGGAAGAAAGCGAGGAGATAGGTTTCAGAGCTGGGGGAGTCGTTGGTGGGAGATCTGGTGTCCCTTAGGCGGCCGCGGGCCGGAGGACCGGGGAGGACGGAGGGTCCTGCGGCCTGGAGCACCAACATAGACACACCGGGCAACGCCCCCCCGGGCGCCCTTCATTGTTTTGCAGAGCCCGGAGTGTAATAGGTGGGTCCCCTTCTGCAACCGCGCTGCGAGCGAATGACTGCCCTGCTAATCTAGTTTACTTGTAGAAATCGACTGTAAACTGGGGCAACAAGGCAAGGGTGGGGGAAGAAAAGGAAGCGCCCAAGGAGCCGCTGCTGCGTCCCGCCCCCACCTCGGAGCTGTTGGGGTTGGGGCCCGGGGTGGCGCTCCCGAACCGCTGCGTTTTCCTTAGGGAAACACCTAGTGAGGCAGAGGATCTCAGGCCCAAGGTGGCTGCTAAGAGCCCCGATGCCTCGGCTTCGCGTCAAGGTCCCGCCACCCTCGAGCCCGGGTCACTGCCGGGGTCCCGGCCTCGAGCCCTGGCGTCCTCTCCCGACAGCGCCACCGCGTGGGCTGAGGCCGAAACCTTCGGCGCCGGCTCTGCCGGTAGCGTCCTGGAGCCAACCCTTCCGCGTCGCCTACAGTCCGCGGGTTAAGGATGTGGCGGGGGATGGGCAGGTCCCTGGCCCAGGGTACCACCCGGCCACTCAACACAAAAACGCCCTGGCGCGTGCAAAATAGGAACAGTTTGCCCCAACCCCTTGAAATGAAAAGCACACCTGGAAAGCCCAAGCCATAGCACCCTATCCGCACCCCAAATTTCAGGCAGGCCGGCCAGCGTCCAGAAATCAGCTCCCACCCCTCGTAGGGGCGGGCAAGCTCAGGTAGCTGGGTGCAAGGGGGCCCAAACCGCAGTTGCCTCCCAAACGCTTTGCGGCTATGGGCCCACGCGGGTCTTGAACCAAGCGGAGAGGGCGAAAGAGCCCGCTGCCAGACCCAAGGTCCCAGAAACCTACGAGGGACCCGGGGGGGGGGGGCAGTGTATCCGCCAGCCCAAACTCGTACGGAGTGGGGGCCAACTTAGAGGGCTTCTCGAGCTGGCGCTTCGCCAGTTTTCTCGGTATCACGAATCCCCTCGGACACCCTTTCAGTCAGTCAAGACCTTGGCCTCCGGGAAAGGCCCAGGTGGCTGTGACGGCGGCGACTCGGGCTCAGTGCTCCCCCACCCCGTGGTGCCTTCCCTCCCGCCCTACAGCCAAGCCCAGAAGAACAAGGCATCACCTCGCGCAGTCCCGGCGCCACATCTGGACTTGGGAACACCGAGTCGGGCTTAGAGGACTTCAGTGGGCAGGTTGGGGTTTATTTTCAATAAATTCAGCCGTTCATACACACCCCCACCACCAATCGCACGCGCGCGCGCACACACACACACACACACACACACACACACACACACACACACACACACAGAGGGACTTGTCAACTATTGAGACAGCTATCCAGAAAGGTGTAAATTCACCTGGTGCCCACCCAATTGCAAAGCTCCCAGATCCACACAAAACACTAGCGAACCCTGGAGGTCTGAGCTGCCCCGCGCCCGACTCACGGCGCCAACACCAGCGCTCCGGCAGGGTCGCAGGGGCCGGTGCCCAGCGAGCCGGGGTCTGGGGAGCCACGCAGCGGGCCGGCTGAGCTCCGGCGCCCCGCGGCCGCGTGGTCTACTCGCCTACTCCCTTATTATTGGCTGGGACCTGTTTCTTTCCAAAGTCTGGTGCCCAGTGTCCTACCCTAGGCCACGCGGAGCTCTCTCCCGGCGTGCCGGGCCCTGCGCCCCTGCCCAGTGGCTCACCTCGGCTCGCTGCGCCCGCCTTCGCCCCAGGTGCCCAGGACCGAGCGAGGGGCTGTGGGTCGGCGTGGGGACGCTGGCTGCTCACCTCCAGGAGCAGACAGAAGGTGCCTGCGGCGTCGCGCGTCCAGCCCTGGGGCTGATTTAAATAACTAATAAGCTCAGAGAAATTTTACGAGGGGAACTTTTCCTTTTAGTATCAATAAAGCCTAGTAATTTGGTTTGTTGGTTACCTATGCCCGAGTTCGACTTTCTCAGTCTCTCTCTCTCTTTTCTCTCTCTCTCTCTTTCTCTTTTTCTCTCTCTCTCTCTTTTAGAGGCAACGTTTTCAAAAACCGGCAATTGCGTGTGCGTTTGGGATGTGCAAGTGTGAGTGTGAATGTGTGAAAGTTATTTGTTTCAGAAGTCCTTCGTCTCGAGAGCAATCATCATTGTAGCTTTGAGTGAAGAGTTTTCAAAGGTGAACTGTTGTTATTTCTGTCAACAGAAAACTGTTGACAACCATTCAAGTCTCACAATACAAGTATAATATAAGGGAGGGTGGAGTTTCTAAAGATTGTCCCGTGGGATATGACAGAAAGACATCTGCAGTGTTTCCCTAATAGTTTGCATTTTAATTAACTTTCATTACATTCTGACTTCAACTCAATATCCGTTGTTTTCAGTAAAGACTTCTATATAACAAAACATTGAAATTTTTGTTTTGGTTTTCCAATCTTCTTGAAAAATAGTTCTTAATTGTAAGGAATTTTTCCACCTGGGAACCATGCTGTAATTGGAAAAAATAAAAGACCTTTCATGAACAATAACTGCAAATAACCCATTTGTTAGTGTCTACGGAGTTGCTGGCACCTATACAACATCTCTGAAATATAAGACAATCTAAGAATGTTCCTCTCCAACCATAGTGATATATACTTTTTTCGTTTTTGTTGTGTGGAAGTTAAAAACACGTTTAAAGGTACTTTTTAGAAAAGTGTAGTGCTAAAATTTACCTGAACTTAAATTCCTTATCAATGTTAGCCTAACGAAATGAAGAGTATTTCTGAATCAGATTATTGTTAGAGTCACACGCTAAATAGTAAAGGAAAATACATGGGAATTAAAGTTTGCAAACTAAGACCAGGGAAAAGCCGGCTCCAGAAGTTACCAGGAACCCACCCAAACCTGTGCACTCTTATCTCCTGTATTTACATATTATAGACAACTTTTCTTTTCCACTTTTAGCTAGAATATTAATGAGCTTCCCTTAGTTCACTTGGTTTTATGCTGTAAGACCCAAAGTCCGCTGAGGGTTGCCCCTGCCAGGTAACTTCCGGAAACCCAGAGTTACTTGGAGACGGACCCGGCCCATTGCACATTCCAAGTGAAGGACATCTCGCCCATTCTTCCCGGAGCCACCACCCATCTAACCT